TTTCTCAAGAGGGGACAGATTTTGGAGCCTGTCAAATGCTGATGGGTTGGGTTCTGAGAGCTAGGGACGAAGGCAGTGGGCTGGGCTGGGATTTCAAGAAGAGCAGAGGACGAATGTTGAGGAATGCTGAGTTGAGGGAATTTCTGTCTGGAGTTGGAGGAGAGACCTGGTGGCAGGTGGCAGGTTTCAGAACAGACACGGAGATTTGTGAAACCTCCAGGGACCCACAGCAAGATCTCTGGGTAGCACCAGGGGTGGGCCCAGGTGAGGGTGGAGACAGCATATTTCTAGTGGCTCTGCCATACCCAGCTGTGACTTTAGCAGGTGCAGGTGAAGTAGACAGTTGGCTTAAGCCAGGATTGGGGTTTTTCCAGAGAAGACCAGAGGGGAAAGAGATGAAACCCAAGGGCAGAAAAGCCCAGGCTGAGCCTGTGGATCGTTGGCCTTAAGAGGGAACACGTGACCACTGGCCATCATTGCCCAGGTTAGAGTCCAGACTGCTACTTTGTAGCTTTGAGACCAGCTTCTGAGTCTGTTTCCTCATGTAGAGAGTGCTCATCCCTACCTCCCAGGGTTATGGGGAGAGTTAGTTGCAGTTGGCTATATGTATGATGGCCTAGCGCAGACCACCTCCTGCTGGCAGCTTGGGGTCTGGACACTGTCAGGAATGTTCCTGATCTGATTTGATACCTTTTCCTGCCTCAGGCAAGGCTGACCTGCCCCTGCTGTAACACCCGCAAGAAGGATGCAGTCCTTACGAAGTGCTTCCACGTTTTCTGCTTTGAGTGTGTGCGGGGCCGCTATGAAGCCCGCCAGAGGAAGTGCCCCAAGTGCAATGCAGCCTTTGGTGCCCATGACTTCCACCGTGTCTACATCAGCTGAACCCGTAACTCAGGGGACTTTAGAACACCCATGGACCCTGGGGGCTGTGCCCCCAGTCCCTCCCCACCCCACATCCCGTGGCCCCACCCTTTGTTCTGGACTCTGTGTGTCCAGCCCCTTCCCATCAAGTTGGTTTGGGGTCCCCAGTGCATGTTAGTGGGAGTGGGAATCAGCCAAGCTCAGTTCCATTTTTTCTCCAGTCAGAGCTGAGGCACCCGCCATGCAGGAAAGATGTGCTGTGAGACACCCAGGCCCATCCCAGCCCTAAGGGGGAAATTTCCCCAGGCTGTGACCTCCCATGGAAGAGGAGGCTCACTCACTACCTGCTTACACACCCACAAGTGAGGACCGGGGTGGGCCAGGTTCCCAGCCCCTTGCTCCCCGCCCTCCAGGCCTGGGCAGGCTTCCCCTCCTGTGGAGTTCCCTGGGCTCTTTGGTCTGGCTCTTGTGCAAAGGGCTTATATCCTGGTGTTGGGGGCGAGGGGGGTGCACGGTCCTCTTCCTCTGGGAAGCTCTGTGGTTGCTGCAGTCACCTTGCCCTTATTTGGGGAGTGCTGAGCCAAGATTATCAGTTTCTATTCTAATCAGGCCCCTCTCAAGATCTACTCCCCCAAGCCCTCATACCCCCACCTCATGCTTCCCAAGTCTCCAGTGGGTCCCCAGCCCTGACTCTGCTTTCATCCTGGTGGCCTTAACTGCAGTGGAGGCAGAACTTCCGATCATTCCAGGTAGAAGAGCTTCATCTAACCCTGTAACTGAGCCTGTACCCACGATGCTTGCTGTGCGGCCTGCCCAAGCAAACTGGGCTGTGAAGGAGCAGGCCAGGCCTGGAAGGTGGAGCTGCTGGCAGGGGCAAGGGTCCATTCGGACTCAGCCCCTGCTCTAGAGATGTCTTGTATAGGCTGTATGTTACGAATAAACGCTCAGCCCGTGGTCCGGGGAGCCAGGTTTCCTGCCCTAAACTTGGTCCCCCTGTCCCGATGCTGCCCCACCTGGTGTGTGTACCTGGAACGTTCTGTACAGATGAGAGGCCCTGCTCTTGCCACCCCAACACGTAGGTACGCTTAGACCTAACGGCTGCCGGAGACTCCGTACCGGGCTCCTGGGAGGAATGTGGCCGCGTAAAGAAATCATCGACCCAGCGGGTCCTGGAAGGCTGACCCCATTGGTCTCTTGCGCGCGGGCTCGCCACACCCCTGCCAGTCATTGGCCGCTGGGATGCTGGGAAATCTCCAGTTGCATCCTGGGAAACATAGTTCCTTGTTGGCACAGGGCGACAAGGTGCTGGCACAGGAGGGCCGGTTCTGGTTGTGCCTGCGAGAAATGGGCCTGTATCCTGCGGGCGGTCCCTCCCCTCGGACAAACAGATTGGGACACCTCAGTGGGTGACTTTTTATTGCAACTTGAGCCGGCGGCTAGTGCCCCTCGGAACTGTTTCGAGTGTTGAGGGGCACGTCTGGGTTCAGCGTCTTGTGGTGGAGAGAGCCATCACTGAGGCTGTGCTGGGCTCCCACTAAGGCCGGTGTTGACCGCGGTTGGTTCCAGAGCTGGAGTCGGGGCCATGGCCAGGGTAACGGCCGTGGGCTTGGCAGCAGCCCCACTTTCCCGCGGTCCTGCAGTCTTGGAAGTGGCGCCTTCACAGGGGCTTGTAACCTTGTCCGTCTGTGGGTCCCATCTGGTGCCCAGGGTTTCGGCGGGGCCGCAACGGCTGGACCAGGTTGGACTGGAGAGGGACACGCGGGCTACAGTGACTTCCTGCGCCGTGCTGGAGGTCGTGGGCACGCTCACTGAGGCACGGGCCAGGGCCGGAGATGGCATCAAGCCTCTGAACAAATGTGCGTGGCCCAGGAGCAGCCGTAGCAAGGGTGGGGAAACGCAGCATATTGCATCACAGAGAGGCTGCTTGCCTCTGAGAGGAGCATGGTGCCTAGGAGTCGGTTGGGGTCAGCCAATACTCTGTAAGTCACCTCTTTCCCAGGAGTCACCTCCATGTAGGTTCCTTAAATGCAAGTAACTACACATCACCTCCCCAAGTATCTTACCTAAGCCATCCTCCATATCCAGAGGAGCTAAAAACTCCTTGTGAGTCCTCATACCTAATAAAGTAGGCATCAAACCACATTCTCAAGCCCAAGGGCATGGGATAAAGATCCAGAATTTTAGTGACAGGGGCAAGCACTGATGCCGCAGAGTAAACTCCATAAACTCCATAAACTTTGGTTTGCAGTTGCCTGCCCAGTGCTGGGAGGACCTACCTTAGGGGCTGGTCAGGCCCCTCTAGCCAGTTTTGACCTCTTACAACCCGTGGCCTCAGTGGCTATGATACCCTGGGTTCCTGGGATAGCCAGGCCAAAACTGACCTTGCCTAGTCTCTGGTGAGCAGATGCTGGCCTTCTGGTGAAGGTCATTTTAGCCAGAACTAGGGTTACTGTCTGCGATTGGCCCCAGGGGTCCAGTGGAGCATTTAGCATTGACCACTCTCTTCAAACCTTACCTTAGACCTGTGGTGCTACACTCCCCTGGTTTTTCCTCATGTACTATTTTCTGCTGGTCCTCTCTCTAGACTCTCCTCTCTACTCTGCTATTCTTCCTGGGTATGTTTATCCGTGGCCATGGCTACAGCTAAGCTGCTAAGGCCCAACTCCAGCCCAGTTTTCTTTCCTGAGGTCCAGACCTGGGGTGGGAGTAGAGGGTAAGGTCATGTACTCTCCTTAAAAGTCCCCCAATGGTGCCCTGACCCTAAGCTCCTCAGGATACTCCACACTCTGGCCTCTGCTCTCTACCTTCCTTCAATCCTCACCCCTGTTCAAAACCCACATCCAACTGTTATGCACCCTCTATCCCCCACCTCACCCCTGGCCCCTACACATACCATTTCCTGTTGCTGCAACCCTCACTCCTTAGGTCACTCCAGCCAGTTTCCTGACCCTGCGCTGAGGCAGGCACCATGTCTGGGCACATGGTCCCTCCTGCTAAATCTGAACAAATCACTACTCCAGTGCATGTTCTTTCCCTGCAGTCTCCTCACTTTACTGAGGACTCCTGTGCTGAGACCAGTTCTGATGTACCTCAGTTGTCCCCAGGGCTGGGAACACAGGGAATGTGGGATAGCCTTCATTACCTCCCTATGAAAGACAAGTCCCTCTTTCCTTGCTTTCCAGATGGAGAAGGGGAAGGAGAGGCAGTGAGCCTGCCCTGGGAGTCTAGGTCAGAGAAGCACAGGGAAGATGGGGAGACAGCTTCCTGGCTGGAGCAGGAGGCTCCTGGCAGACCAGGGCAGATGCAGGCAATGGGTTAGAGCAAGTGTTGACCTCAGGCTTGGGCCATGGCCAGGCCTAGGCCCAGGAGATAGCATAGAGGTAAGCCGGGCATTGAGGATTCATCAAAGCAGCCCTGCCTGACCCATTGTGGAGCCCAGACTAGGCCCAGGCAGGCCCAACGATGGGTGAGAGGCTTGGTTAGGTGTAGAGCTGTTCCTGGCCATTCTGGTTTCCCTCCCTTCCTTGCTGTGGATCTTAGGCAAGTGGCTGCCCTTCTCTGAGCCTCAGCCTTTCAACATGGTGAGGGCTATGGACTACAGCCTGAGAGTGAGATCACAAGCCAGGTCTCCTCCACCACCTCTCTTCCAAGTCTAGGAAGCTGTCCAAATGATGGGCTGTACCAGGTCCAGGACCCAGGTGAACCAGGGAAGGTGGCCTCCAGCTTTTGAAACTTGATCTTTGGAGCTTTCCCATGTGGCAGTCTGGAGAGGGGGCGGGTATGGTGGCCAGAGAGACCTCCCTGGAGCTGCACAGCTGGACCTGAGCTAGCCAGCGCCAGAGTCACCAGCCAGTCACCCAACAGTCAGCAGGATGTGCTGATGCCAAAGCCAGACATCAGTCAACAAGAGCTGTTTGACTCTGCCACCACCTCAGAAGTTTCTCCCCCTTTCTCCCAAGGGTATGGATTTTAAAACTCAATCTTCACCAGCACTTATGGGGTGGGGATTTTAGGGTCTTTGGGAAGAGTGCAAGAGTGGCCTGGAGCTGAGCTGAGCTTCTGAGGCTCTATATGGACCCTTGCTCTGGGAGGGGCAAACTCTCTGAGCTTGCTCTAGGATTCACACAGAAGACAGAGAGCACCTGGGAAACCTTATTCCCTTTATTCTCTTCAGCTAATCAACATGACCACCAGTGACACAACACTGTTATTGACACACAACACTCAAAAGTGGGGCCTCTCTTCACTCCAGGTGGGCAAGTTAGGTAAGTGGGGCTTCCCTAATGAAGGCAAAGGCGTCTAGGGCTGCTCGACTCGGGCAGGTGTCATGGAACCCCACCTCTTGACTGTGATGGTTTCAAGTTTCCCCATCATTCAGGATTCATGCCCAGTTCTTTCGAGTTCCCATTTGACCTCCATATCCATAGCAGTTTCAAGTTTCACCCTAAGCTCAGATCAGTTTCTACTCTTCCCTCTGCTTTCACCAATGACTCTGTGACCCTATCTATGGGCTCCTCAACTGGGGCACTTCTGGAGTCAGGCCTGCACGGAGCTGGACAAGAGGCCTTCCAGAATGAGCTGGGCCTTTGCCGGAGCTGATCAGAGGGACTCTGGACACTGCCACCTCCCCCTGCCAGTTCCCTGCTTAGTTCCTTCCAAGATGTAGCTTATTTTGGGAAGCACCTGGCTAAAGGAGTTTAGGGTGGTGGGCAATACCCAAAGAACAGGTCATACCCAAAGGTCTCCGACTCTGCCCCTTTCTTGCTACAAAACCCCAGACCCAACTCATCGTATCCGCATCATCCATTGAAGTACCAGAGCCTAAACTCCCAGCCCCAACCAGTTCCTACAACATGCGAGCATCACACTACATATGCTACACCCAAGTCCTCAGTCGGCCTGCAGTTGGCCTCTGACCACACTGCCCACCTCCCCCCGGACTGGCCCCCGAGCTTCGAAGGCTGCTCCCCAGGACTCTTCTGGAGAAAGATTTCTCAGACCTGCTCTGGGGGTTCTGCTTCTAGCTTTAAAAGGGGTTTGTCTACAACTGGAGTTTCTTTCTCCTACCATCTTAGAGGGAAAAGAATCTGCTTTGACTTGGAGGACTGTGTCCTGTTCCTCAGTCTCACAGGGACACCCCCTTTGTGGACGCTTGTCAGCAGAGCTTCGGCAGGCAGGCTCCTCCCCTCAGTAGTGCTTTCCAACCTGGCACTGGGGTCAGTGGGGCTTTAATGCAGAGGGTAGAAAGGGTCTCCCCACAATCATGCAATGCCTGCCTTCTCCCCAGCAGGCCTGGCCTTTTCCAACTAGTGTTCTAGATTTTGATCCTTTGAGTTTGCGGGTTATCCTTTGGGGGGCAGGGTAGATGAAAGGTGAAAGACTTTCACCTTTTGAACTTCAGGTAATGAAATTAGAGGTCTCTTCCACAGCTTTGTAGGATTCTGGGTCACCCTCTAGGGGATGTGACTCCTGACGGGCGCCACCTCACCTGGCACGTTGGTTCTCTTACTCCAGGACCACAGTGCATTACTGGTGGCAGCATGGGGTCAATGGGCACTTCCTTTGGACCCAGCACTGGATGGAGTCTACAGGCTTAGGGGATGGGTTCTTGTTACAGATGTTTCAAGAGTTTTTTCCAACCATTTTAGAGGGCAACAGTCTCTCCCCTGCCACACACACGTTAGCGGGTCTGGCTGGGTTAATGGAAGTGTGTAACAGTGTGTGGTGTGTGGGGACAGGAGATGGGTCTGGCAAGGGTGTGGTTCTCATCTTTCCATTCCCCTCTGAAGGTTTCTGGCTAAGGAGAGAAGCCAAGTAGGTGGAATCCATCCCTTCCCAAAACCGCAATCAGGCTGGGTTGTCACGACTTCAGAGGGCTCCAGCTACTGGAGGAAGGTGGTCAGGGCTCCATACTCTCTTCCGTGGGGTGTTTGGACACCCATCATATGTGCAGGCTGGCTCATCCTGCCCGCAGCCTTGCTATCAGCTTGGAGGAGACTGAGATTTAAGAGCAGGTTGCTGGCTAATCAAAGCTCTATTCTGTCAACTTGCCGTCCCTCGTTGCCAGAGAACCTACATGTGGCTCTCGCTGACTTGGAGAAGAGCAGTCTAGAGGATTTAACCACACACAGGCCTTGAGTCTCTGAAGGGCTTTATTCTTTGGAGGTCGACTAGCAGCAGTCCTCCCTCTTCACTGAGGACAGAATTCGAGGAAACGGGCTGCCACTGCAGCGACACTGGTGGCAGTTAGATTTCAGGAGGAACCTCCTGACAGTGAGACCTGAGATGTAGCGGGAGGGACCCTCCATTCCAGGAGGCCTCTCAGAACAGAAGTCTGCAGGAAAGGGTCGTCCTGCCCGGCTGGGAGAGGACCCTGGCGGCCCGGCCAGGATCTGCTTGCACTTGGAGTTTAACAAGCTCCCGGAAACGGGAAGACAGCCTGGAGTTTGCTGGGTTCCACCTGGACAGTTTTGCTACTTGGTTTCCTTCCCTCAAAGCACTGTGACAGAATCCCCTGACTCTTCCCCCTAAATTTTTGGGGTGGTTCCCCAGTACTCTTACACTTAAAAGTTTTATGCACCCCAAACTTCAGCCTTCAAAAAGGCTCAACATTTTTTTCCTTCCCCACTTTTGGCCTCTTTCTGATGGAATTCCATGGGCCTCTCCCTCTCGCACGCACTGTTCACCTCCGACTGGCCTTGTGCCCCCAGGAAACCCCGCGCAATGACTAGATTTCCTCTTCCTAGTTCCTGGGCCACTTCTCCGCGGGGTCTCCCATCCTGTTTTCCTTTCCCAGTCCCACCCGACTGCCACACTATCCCGCACCTAGCGGTTTACTCAGCGGAAGTGTCCACGGCTGCTGGGAAGGAGCCCCCCTCCCACGTGGCAGGAGGGAGCCCTGGGCAACAAGTTCACGGGAGGCTCTTCCACACCTTCCGAGGGTCACTGCTCCCAAGTCAACACCATTGTATATTCCCTGCACTTCCCCGACCCTATAGTTTCACAAGGATTTCGGTACAGTTTTATAGGGTTGTCTAGAGACATATTGGGACCTCATCCTACAATTAATAGGGCTTTTATCCACTATGGTTTATAGGGATTTTCTGCTACAGACTTAAAGGGCTTTTTTTCCTACATATTTATAGGGTTCCTAACCCCAGTTTTTCTCTACTGCATTATAAGTGGTTCCCGCCAACAACTTATAGGGTTTCTTATCACTCATATAAAAGCACTATTTTTACCCAGGGTCCTCATCCTCCACATCTCTACAATCTGATAAGGTTTTCTTCCTTTTCTCGCATAATCATTTGGGGAGATCCAGTGTTCCTCTCAGGAGAGGCCCTGGCCCCCAGGCCCATTTCACAGGGTGACCCCTGGGTGGCAGCTCCTATGGAGAAGGAGGGCTGCGACTTCTGTGAAGCCATCTCCACACTCGGGGCACAAATAGGGCTTTTCTTCCAAAAGGGTTTTGGGGGTCTCCCCTTCCTCATGGCTACTGCTCCCTGTGGGGGTGGGGGCCTCCCCTTCATCTTCCTGGCTTGTGGACAGGGTGACTGGCTCTGGAAGGGGGTCTTCGGGTCTGGGGGACTTTTCTTGGGTGTGGGTTTCCTGGTGCCGGATGAGGGCCAGGCGATCCAGGAAGGAGGCCCCACAATCTGAGCAGCTGTAGGGTCTGGCCCCCAGGGGGCTCCTGAGGTGCTCCAGGAGGACAGAAGAGCTCTTCCCCAGCTCTGGACTCTTCTGTGGTTTCCCACCTGCATGGACTTTCTGGTGCAGCAGCAGCTCAGAGCTGAGGGCAAAGCTTTTTTTGCATTCAGGGCATTTAAAGGGCTTTCCACTTAGGAAGGGACTGGGCCCTGCCCCTTCTGCTAAACCAATCCTATAATCAGGAAACAGAAAGGGCTTCTCGTTGCCGTGGGTGAGCTGGTGTTGGAGGAGCACAGCCCGATCCAGAAAGCTTTCTCCACAGTGGGAGCAAATGTAGGACTTGGAGGAGAGCAGGCCCAGCCTTTGGCTAAAGCTCTCCTGCCCCTCAGGCATTTTAAAGGGCTGTCCTGGGGGCTCAGCTCTGCCCTCTGAAGCACCTGGATAGGAATTGCCTCCAAAAGGGAGCCTGGGAGATCGAAACTGAGGAGGCTTGGGGGCTGGGTGTGCAAGGAGGCCATCTGAATTTTTGTAGGGGTTTTCTCCGATGTGGATCCTCTGATGCTGCATGAAAATGCCCTCGTCGTTGAACCCCTTTCCACAGACAAGACACTTGTGTGGTTTGGCTCCAGGGGGCGGGGTTAGCAGGGCTGGGTCCCCGAGCCCCAGCAGAGTGTCGCCCTGAGCTCTCCGGGCTGGCGTCTTCCCTCTTTCGTGGATCACCCGGTGCTGCTCCAGCTCGTGCGCCTCCAGGAAGGCCTTCCCGCAGTCGGAGCACACAAAGAGGTTCTCATCCATGTGGGTGCGCACGTGCGTGATGAGGTTCGAGCTCTGGCTGAAGCTCTTGCCGCACTCGGGGCACTTGTAGGGCTTCTCGCCCGTGTGGGTGCGACGGTGCTGGATGAGGTGGGAGCTGCGGATGAAACTCTTCCCGCAGTCGGAGCACTTGTAGGGCTTCTCGCCCGTGTGAATTCGCTGGTGGCGGATGAGCGTGGAGCTCATGATGAAGCTCTTGCCACAGTCGGCGCAGATGTAGGGCCGCTCGCCGCGGTGGATTCGCTGGTGGTTGATGAGGTTGGAACTGACGCTGAAGCTCTTGCCGCACTCGGGGCACTTGTAGGGCCGCTCGCCTGTGTGCGTGCGCTGGTGCCGCAGCAGCGTGGCGCTCAGGGTGAAGGTCTTGCCACAGACGGGGCACTTGAAGGGGTCCTCGCGCAGGTGGGTCCGCTGGTGCTTGATGAGGGTGGAGCTGTGGCCGAAGCTCTTGCCGCACTCGAGGCACTCGTAGGGCTTCTCGCCGGTGTGCGTGCGCTGGTGTTGGGTCAGCTCGGAGCTCTGGATGAAGCTCTTGCCGCACTCGGTGCACCGGTACGGCTTCTCGCCGGCGTGGATCTTCTGGTGCTTGAGGAGGTTGTGGTTCTGGCCGAAGCGCTTGCCGCACTCGGGACACTTGTAGGGCTTCTCCCCAGTGTGCGTGGCCTGGTGCTGGATGAGGTCCGAGCTGCGGTAGAAGGCGCGCCGGCACTCGCCGCACTTGTAGGGCTTCTCGCCCGTGTGTGAGCGCTGGTGCTTGATGAGGTTGGTGCTCTGGGTGAAGGCCTTCTCGCACTCGGTGCACTTGTAGGGCTTCTCGCCCGTGTGCGTGCGCTGGTGCTGCACCAGGTTGGAGCTCCAGCTGAAGCATTTGCCGCAGTCCGGGCACTTGTAGGGCTTCTCGCCCGTGTGCGTGCGCTGGTGCTGCACCAGGTGCGAGCTCTGCGTGAAGCTCTTGCCACACTCGGAGCAGGTGTTGGGCCGCTCGCCCGTGTGGATGCGCTGGTGCCGCAGCAGCTTGGACCACTGGCTGAAGCTCTTGCCGCACTCGTTGCAGATGTAGGGCTTCTCAGCCCCGGAGGGGCGGCCTTGCACCAGCTCCCGCAGGCTGGACTCGTTGGCGGGGACCACCGGGGGGCTGTTCCATGTGGTCAGAGTCCCCCACTGCCAACTGGCCTCACAGGCCTTGGTCCAGTCAGACGGGGCAGGAACTACCTCGGGGGTTGGGGAGTCAAGAGGAGTCTGGTGGTCCAAGGGGTTGGAGTGACCCAGTGAAGTTGGGGGGTCCTGGGGGCCTGAGGGATCCTGGGAGGGTCTCTCCAGGGGCATCTCTGGTGGGTCCTTGAATTCTGGACTCTGAGCTGGATCGCCCAAGATGATCTCCTCCCCAGAACTTTCCTGCTGAGGGCTCTCCTCTTCGTTCCCACTCTCGGCACCTACAGAGAGAAAGGGAGTCTCCAGCCCCCATCTCCTTTCAGAACAGGGGGTCGGTCTCTCTTCCCTCCCCTGGGTTTCCCCCAGAGTCTGGGCCCCTCCCTGAACTGGGGCCACTGTCTTGTCAGGACTGCAGTCCCTTCTTGTGCCCCTCACCTCTGTGAGCATCATTAGGGCTCTGTTCAGGACCCCGCAGATCTGGGCCCCACAGCACCGCTTCAGGCTCCATCCCAGAGCTCAGGGCTGCCCAGTGTTCCAGGGACCCTGGGAGAGGGGAGAGGAGAGAGGAGAGAGAGGAGCACACAATGGGAGCTGACCTGCCACTTTTTTTTTCACTCCCCGCTCGCCCAGTCCCCCAGCTCTCATTCCTCTATGTAAACTTTAGTTTCCTACCAACCCATTTTTCTGAGCGTTCGTTTTCACTGTGCCTACCCACCCCACCTCCGCAGGCCTGATTCCTGATCCAGCTCTTAGGAGCACAACTAAGCAAGTTGGTGAATGTAAGAGTGTAATTAAAAGCTCATCAGTCATAACCCTTTGAACCCAGACTGGGGGCTGAAGAGGTATCTGACACCCACAGGGGAAGTGGCTCTCACCCCACCCCTATGATGCCCAGAGGCTGGGAAACCTGTTATTTTGCTAATCAGAAGAAGCTCATTAAGACTCTAATTTTCCTCCTTAATGGGGCTGCTAATTGGGACCAATAAACTTTCCTTAAGAGCCTCACGGAGAACTGAGACTGCCTGGAACACTTAAAGAGTTAAAAAAAGAAACCACTCTGATTTTCCTGAGGTGACAGGAGCCCTCCAAAGGGACTCGGGCACGTTCCCCATTATCCAAGCACAGAAAGAAGGTCAAGCCAGTTTAGGAGGAAGGGTTGTTTTAAAGCCACTAGGGGCTTGTGCAGGACCGACCTTGAGAGGAAAATGGAAAGGAAAAGAGAGAAGGGAGATGTGTGTGAAGGCCCCTGGCAGCTGACACAGTGCCTGCTGTGATGTCCTCATTATCTGGCCCAATCTTCCTCCCAATCCCGTGAGGAGACCCAGGAATCAGATTGTCCATTTTACAGATTAGGAAATCAACCCTCAGGGAGATTTCTCCAAGGTCACAGGCCGGGAAGCGGCATAGACCAGAAATGCAAGGTTCTGTGTCTGGCTTGCCCTAACCTCTGAGAGTGGAAGATGACCTTGGGAGTCATGTGAAACTCATAAACGTGGGCTGCTGGCAGGGACCGGTGATGAGGAAAGCTCAGAGGCAGCCTACTTGCCATGAAAATGGGATAGCGAAATTCCTGGGACCAAGAGGTCCTTGGCTGTAAAAGGAGGGGTTGGATCCAGTGACTAGCCTGACAACCCGTGCCTGTAAACTCAGACGGCCCTCCCCAGTGAAGCCTTCCCTATCAGTCCCCGTCTCGGACCCTGTTTTTTCTGTCTTGCTGCTCCTGGATGCTGTGCCTAGCACGATGCCTAACAAAGAACAGGTGCTCAGTACATTTTGTTGAATGATTGAAAACTGAATGAGATGCCCCTTGCTCCTGGAAAACCTGCTTATCCAATACCTTTAAAGGTCAGTCTGCAAGGGGACAGCAAAGAAACAGTGCGGAGTGGCCTGGAAAAACAGCCAGCTCACTCCACAAAGGGAGATATGATTTCAGCATGAGGGAACAGGACCACAGGAGCTGACTGCTAGGAGAACTCCCCACAGTGTTGAGACCCAAAGAGAGTCCCTGGGGAAAGCCTGGGCTTTGGGTCGCTGTGTGGGACGGGCCGTGTGTATGGGGCCAGTGGTGCAAGCAGACAAGACCGGGACGCAGGAGGAGGCAGCCGGGAGGTAACCCAAGTGAAGCAGGAGCTAGTGGAACCCTGCTAAATAGCAGCAGGGGAGACAGGAGTTCGATTTTAGGAAGTAAATTAATTTCTTCATGTCTGTAGCTCCTTAGGCTATGACAACCTCCCCTCCCCCATCTGTGTTTTCGGGGGGATGGAAGCAGGCACCTCTGCCAAGCTGGGGCTGCCTGTTCAGGCGGCCTGGAAGGATGCCCTGCTGTTTGCTGAGGACAGGTAACACCTTATGTACCTTCACTATTTCCAGAAATTCAAACCCAGCGGTCCAGAGGAGAGGGAAGGGGTTAATGACAAGGCCGCCATGGAGTGTGAAAGTGGGAAGACACAGGGAGGCGAGAAGTGCTCAGAGCAGACCTAGGCCCAGGTCCCTGACCTCGGACCTCCCTCCACTGCGGACGGAGGGAGGCAGGGAGGGAGCGAAGCCGCCTCCCGGAGAGGTGTGGAGAGCGGCCCAGGGTGACCCCTAAGTGGAGGCAGCAGCGGGCACGCAGCCATCCTGGTCCCCGGCCCCCCCACAGCCGCACCAGCCTAGACCCTGGACTTCTGCCCCAGCGGGTCCCCGCCGCCCTCTTTCGGTTCCCGGCTCCCGGCTCCGGCATCCTCCGCCCCCGGGCCCGGGATCGGGCCGCTCGCAGCCCCG